TGAGCAATCACATGATCGCGAGTACATAAGACAGGCACCACGACGCTCATCAGCAGGAAGCCACAGTCTTCCCATGTTCATAGCACGTTCACACCAACAGCCATCACACTACCACACAGACACAGCCTGCGACGAAGTCTATTCAATGCCAAGTGACAAGGAGGAACCATCCTTCTCTTCACGACGACAAGTGAGACAATCCTTCATTACGCTGGGGTCTGTTGCGCACGAGAATTGTTCTTGTTTGAGCCGTCTTTTCCTCTTCGCGTCACTCGTTAGTGATGATCGCGAGTACATAAGACAGGCACCACGACGCTCATCAGCAGGAAGCCACAGTCTTCCCATGTTCATAGCTCGCTCACACCAACAGCCATCACACCATTCAACGTACGCCTCCGCGGACGAGAGGCCCACTCTCTCAGTTGACACATATGAACCACCGTTCTCTTCACGACGACAAGTGAGACAATCCTTGTAATCGCTGGGGTCTGTTGCGCACGAGAATTGTTCTTGTTTGAGCCGCCTTTTCCTCTTCGCGTCTGAGCAATCACATGAGCATGAGTACAGAAGACAGGCTCCACGACGCTCATCAGCAGGAAGCCACAGTCTTCCCATGTTCATAGCACGTTCACACCAACAGCCAACACACCATTCAACATACGCCTCTGCGGACGAGTCCGGGTGAGCGAGCCTACTGTGTATACTTGGTGGCAAGAGAAGTGCTGCTGTTCACTCTGTTAGGAAGTAATCGCTGGGGTCTGTTGCGCACGAGAATTGTTCTTGTTTGAGCCGCCTTTTCCTCTTCGCGTGTGAGCAATCACATGATCGCGAGTACAGAAGACAGGCACCACGACGCTCATCAGCAGGAAGCCACAGTCTTCCCATGTTCATACGTGCGAGTGTGGTTGTCGGTAGTGTGATAGTGTGTCTGTGTCGGACGCTGCTTCAGATAAGTTACGGTTCACTGTTCCTCCTTGGTAGGAAGAGTTCGCGACGACAAGTGAGACAATCCTTCATTAGCGACCCCAGACAACGCGTGCTCTTAACAAGAACAAACTCGGCGGAAAAGGAGAAGAGCCTTCTCGGAGCAGCGCGGCTCCAAATGCCTACGTCGACCTACGTGAACGGCAAGAAAGCACAGTTGACGGCTACCCGATTCCGACGAAATCATGCTTGCAAGGGTGCAGGGAAGCGGGAGATTCATGTAAGCCAGAAAGGCAGTGTCAAAGCCAAACTTAACCTGCCTCACACAAAGTTCGGTAACAGTAGTTGAAAGCACCTTGTACACTAAAGGCCGGCATAAGCATCCTCCTGTATTCTTCCAAGGTGCAAGCCGTTCAGGGACCTCTGTGCGATGCGCAGTAACACCATCCAGATCCAGTGCGCATGCGCCTAGCAAAACTCGTGAGATGCATTTACACCCTCCACAGCTGCTTCCAAACACCGAAACATCTCGCCCTGCAAATGCATCGGCGTGCTCAAGCTGCCCTTCTTTGTCCAATTCAGATGAAGCTCAGCTGGTGCCAGGGGCAGGAGTGAGAATTCATGAAAACAACCAATCTGCAAGTTTCGCCTGTCAGCAGCCTTCTCATTATTATCCTACAGACTCTAACCGTCCAAAAGTTTCTTCCTATCGCCCATGTCATGTGGAGCTTAAACACCCTGTGTGTTATTTGCAAGGACAGGCAACTGATGTCTTAGGTTGCTTTCCTCTGGGGGCAAGCGGACCCCAGCCTGTTTCCGGTTGCATACCAGAATGCGCGACCGCGCCTGTCCAGCTTGGTGATTATCCTATCCACGAGTCAATTTTAAAACGCGCTTGCGCCGGCAAGAGCTACTTGACTGAAAGAGGACGGAACAATAGAGCAGCGAAACCGTTCCTAGAAGACACAATTATCTTAGGGTCCTCACCTCCCATAAATGCTCCACAGTCACAGCAGGCCCGTATTCTCGGGAGACATGGCCACTTACCTAGACACTGCGGCGGCTCCACAGATTATAACAGTATCCGGGCAGCGTCTTACAAGATCGACCACTTGAATAGACATTCAGGTGCTTCCGTGATCGTTGAGCCCTCAACAAGGGCAATTTGCTTCAAAAGCTCACAAAATCCAAATGCACGGGCACATCATGCCGGGCAATTGTGTAGGCGACGAGATGGAAGTTCCGAAATAAATTCCTGTCCGTTTGATCTGGCGGATCACTTTAAGGAAGAAGATATGACGAATCGCGCACAACAGCAGCTCTTGCAAGTCAACGCCGCAATGTCTGAGGCGTCAGATGCTAAAATATGTCCTGATTTATGTTTCAGTGAAAGAGGTAGGCCGGAGGGAAGTTTCACTGACTAATGCACCTCGAAAATCTTAGGAAACGGATTTACACTATGTCCTTGAGCTCGGTTGCTAGTTGTAGACAAAGGTTTTCCCAATGGTGTGAAATAGGGCCCAGCCAGCTGGACACTCTCCCCAAAGGCAATCCCAGGCGTTCCGCCCAACACCCTTATTGTCGGAGTGATCAAAATATCGGCGACCCCAGAGGATGTCAGACAAAGGACAAAGAGTTCCCAGGTTTGTCCCGCACAACAAGCTAAAGAAACGTGTTTAGGGAGAGCAACGGAATAGTTCTCATGCACCAGAGACATACGGCTTTCCTACCTGTCCGCTCACGGCAGACCGTACGTGCAAGTCAAAGTGTCAAACATTTGAGGTGTGTCAGGCGCGCTATGCAGATGCTCCGCCTAAGTGTCAAACGCAATCGAAGCGTACTCTTTATACGTGGTTGCCAGAGCGGCATCACCACACAGAGTTGCCTCCAGCTGCTGACGATTATTCGAGCATTCTTGACTATGAAGCTGAAACAGAAGTACCGAAGGAATTTCTTCAGGACGGCTCTCCAGAACACCTTAATTGCGCGGTTAAACGAAGACGAAACCGAGAGCCGCTTCAACCTTCCATGAGCGGGGCTGATGGGAGGAAACCATCAAAAGAACAAAATGAGCCAGGACCAAGACCACCAATAAGGCACCAAAGAGGCGCGCTGCGCCATGTGAAGCTCGACGCGAGTGGGAGCAGGCCCTTACTGCAGACACAAATACAGTCTCCCACTGCATCCGATAGACCAGCGCGGAAGATACAGCAGCAGCAGAATCCACCGGCTGTTCAAGATGGGTCTCGGATATGCCAAAAAATATTTGGGGGGCAACAAATCATGCAAAATCAGGTGGGCGCCCTCCTCCACCCCTCGACGCGGCAGCAGACAAGGTACATAGCTAACAAGAGCACTAGCTGGAGCACTGCAAGCAAGCCCTCTGATGCGGTTGTAGGGGAATTCACCTGCATTTACCGTACTGCCTAAAGCTCTAAATTACGGCCGTTTACCTTGCATTGCCTAGGTTATAGACTACGAAACCATTTCTCTCGTTGGTAGGAGACTTGCTGTCATATCCTTGGCACGAATAGTCATGATTACTTTCTTATGCATCAATCGGAAGAACAACATTCCACAGCAATTAACATTTTGTTTGATAGTTGCATGGATATTATTGTGTCTGCCTAACAGCTTATATATGACTGCATTTCTGCTCAGCCCACTCGCGGAACCTTTCCCGTCGCCCCACAGCAACATAAAAACCCCACAGGACCGTAATGCACAGCAATCGTCTTCTTTCACAGAGAAATGTGAAGCCGCAGGACTCAATGATACAGGTGTACCAAGCAAACTGTGCGCTTCCGCCAAACTAGCTTCTGTGAATAGCGAGGATGGGGTTCAATGCTGCAGTCGTCGTCAATCTGACTGCACAACGGTTGAAGACACTAGGACACAGCATGAGAGCAACTCCATCGACTCTAAGCCAACTGCTGGACCAGCAATTGCATCTGGTACGCAGATGCTGTCAGCTCCAACAGGAGGACTTCGGAAATCTCAGAATAGTTGTTCGAACATTGATCCATGTGGCATTTTCAGTACAGGGGCTGTCGGCAGTGCTCAAGCCGCAGTTAGATCAGCACCTGCGGATGTCCCCTGCATACCAGATAGCATGGATCAAGACTGCACCTCTCCTAAAGAGTGTTCGGTGGCCGCCCAAATTAGCTGCTGCCCTTGGAGAACTGTATGCGGAGCTTCATGCGAACGCCCTAGCCTACCTAGTGACGGAATCGTTCACTCAGACAGGGCTGTGGGCAGAGGCCGCCTACAGGAACACATCAAGGTGATTGAGAAAGTTCAGACCGTTCGTCCAGGAGCAGGGCTGCACAGTCCTGAGTCACGATGCATCTGTACATCGCGGCAGTGCGCTAGAATGTGCCCCGCACAACCGGCAAAACTCAGATGCTTTTCATCCCCCGGGTCGCGGATCCCAGCATCACCAGCCGTTCCGCAGCTAACGCATTGTTCACAAGATGAGGCAAGCGCCTCCCCTTTCCGCAGATCCATCGGAGCAAGAAATCGTACTTTTTCTGCAGGGCCCAAGGAGAGCAATGTTCAGGCCCAAGCGTGCCACTCAGCTGCTATTGCAGAGAATCAACATAGGAACACTTGTATTACGGCCTTTGAAGGGTCGCGGAAGACTATTCATGCTGAAGGTGGAGCTGCGGGAGCATGTAGGTGCTTAGAGGCAGTGACGTGTGCGTGCAACCGAAAGGAAGCATTCTTTCCAAGGGAGTACCAAAATCCCCAGAGCCGCCTTCCCTCTACGGAGCATGAAGGGTTGGAAAAAGGGCACCAAACAGAACAAAATACGAATGAAAACACAGTAGCACCTATGCTCGGCAATGATTCGTTTTCGCAACCTTCGAGTGCTTTCCTTGGAGGCCCTACTCAGGAGGATGCCTGTCCAACTGAATGTGCAAAATCCGCAACACTTTCAACTGATACATTTTCTCGAGAAAAGGATTCGATTAGCCGCAGCACATTAGCGAAAATGGAAGACCAACAAGAATGCAAAAATGTGCATGAAATCCAGGTCCACTATGACGACTTACTCAGACCCATACACAGAGCAAACGTATGCACAGCTGCAACGAGTGTACCTGTGGAAGAGTTTCAACAGCAGCCTGTCGACAGTGAAGTTGGGTCCTTCCCTGTCTGCACATCTTCGTCTGGCTGCCCATTGCCGTCCCTCGCTTCCTCTGAGCTTTTGTACCTTCTACAGCAGAGCATCCGTTCCGCTAAAAGTGCTGCAGTTGCCATGGCGAATTATTCGTCTTGCTTATCGAATATGCTGGAGACGGAAGCGCAAACAATTACAGGGGACAGCACCACTGATCTCTTGGTTCCGGGACACCATGAAAGGGGGAATGCAAGCGAGATTGACAGCAGTTGTTTAGTCACACCGGCAAATTCAAGGCTTCCGCCGCCTTCAGGATTTCCCGTTTTGACAACTCGTAGTCAACGCACTTGTCATTCTCCTCATAATTGTATCCATACAGTGGTACCTGGGGTCGTCACAGTGGCAGTGAGCAGTCCGCAGATACGCCGGTGTTTTCATTCCGAGAGGGAATCCACTTCCCCACTCCAACCATATTCTTTACATGCGTACGCAGCTTCAAAGACGACGTGTAACAACCAGTCATTGGCAGACTTGGCGGGAATGGAGGACTTGAAGCTTGCTTGCCCCTCCTCCCCTCCTAGTACAGTGATTCCCTGTCCTGTGACACAACGGCGTACTGCACGCAGTGCAGTGTCTATCCCGGTGGTTAAGTCAAATGAAGATACCACCGTAACGATGAAGAATGAACGCCCTCACCGAGACGAAACACGCGAAGATGCTTCACATCATCTGGGAGTCTCTTCAACTAGCAACGTGGAGGAGCGATGCAAAGCGAAAACTGAGTTTCCTCAGGACAGCAAAGCAGCAAGCTGTGCTGAAAAACTACCCGAGTTACGCATTTTCACCGTCATCCAGGATACCAAGGATCTGCAGCGCCGCGAAGTAGAAGAAAGCATCCTGCACACACACAAAGTAGCAAGCAAATACCAGAGCCAACCTCTTCCAGGCTCAGTAGTAGCTACGCCTTCTGCTACTTTGCTCAGTTCACCACATGAGAACTCTGACAACAAATTGACAGCGTGCACCTCGGCTGGCAGAAGCCTGACCAGCCGATTCCTGGCACACATTCGTCAAGGCATTCGCCTTACACGTCGTCGACACAGAAGTACAAGCACCACCCGAATTCACGGAGCCCGTCCACTGCGCGAGGCCTCCACTAATCCTGGAGGAGCTGGATGCGGAGGAGAAAAGGGACTTCACACGTTTCGGGAATCGTGTGTCCGGCTTCAAGCTCAGTCAGCGGGGACAAAAGAAGATTCGGCTGCACATGATGCACCAGCAGAGTTTCGACCATTCACCTATGACAGCAGAGAAACAGCTGGTGTACACTTGGCCGTTCCAACTATGAAGATGGTGTCACAGCTCGCTGCAAACGCGGAAGAAGCCGGGCATACTACAAATGGGAGTGAGCTGTGTCCTGCTGGGCTAAAGCGGCACTCAAGTCAGAGAGCAGCATCTCAGGATCACGCACCTCGTGACAGTGTTAAAGAGGCATTGCTACTTGACGCTCCCGTTTTCTCGGTATCGGCCTCCCATAGCTGCCTTCCTCCCACAGACGCATGGAGTAATTCATATTCAAGGGACCCGACACCATTATCAGGTTACTTAATGGCGAATTCAAGAGGCAGCTTTCCATCTACACAGTTGGCAACATACCCGAAGGCTGTCCGCAGCTGCTTCTCTCAGCAACAGGAGGTGCCTAATAATGTTCATAGTGGAGCTGCAACGATTAGTAGTACGCTCGAAGACTCAAATAACTGGAGAGAAACTGCCAATACACTCAATAAGGACTACTGCCAGTTCAGTGTGCATGATGCTAAAGGTTGCCTGGACACTCCAAGAACGATCACCGCATCATTGGATGTCATTGCAAATAGAAGAATAGCGAAAGGCGGCTCCTGCATTCACCAATCGGGCCGCCTTTTGGAGAAGGCAGAGTTGCAAAAATGGCAGGACCTCCTCGAGCTTAACAATATTATTCAGCGAGGGGCCCGTTGATTGAGCGCCAGTCCAATAGCCACTTTTTATTTAGTGTTTCAGATAGAGTATGAAAAGGGCCCCTTGTCTGTAAGTTGTCACGAAGTAAGCCGATGAAGACGGGCTTACCAAGGCACTCGGGCAGCATTCTACCAGTATTGTTGCCCGTTGGGGCCTGCTTGTTTTAGCTGTCCAAAGCAGAAGCTTGAAACGCAACTTAGTATGGCAGGTTATATATGCTTGCATAGACGAGTGCAAAAGCCAGAATTGTTCCTTACTACTCGTGAACTTCTTCGGGTAGGCTGACATTCGGGCTGACATTCGTAGGCGATTGGGCAGTTTGGAACCTCCTCGTTTGCAGCCGGGACTTTAATACATTGCATACATTTTATTTGCAATGACGGCAAAGGGGGCTTTCCTCCTCTTGTCGCTTTGGTTGGGCTCTTGAGGCCACTTCGATAGTAATTAGTTAGTTTCCAGGAGTTGGTGGCACCGAGCCGCCTTATATTTGCATTTGACCCAAATCAGCGTCTTCGCCATTCTGCCTCCACTGTTAGTAATTCGTCCCTTTCTAAACCACAGCAGCGTTGCGAATAGTGATTACCCACGATAACACGAGTGCAGTGTTGTCTTCTGCACACTTTGGGATCCGCAGCACCAGTATCATGATTGACCATACTGATCAAACGCATGAAAGCATTCTTTGTTCTCCAGTGGGGGAAACGGTTGGCATTGGCGGATCGCATGCCGCTTGCGTTCTCTGATGTCTAGGTTGCGTTCCTGCGTCAGTTAGACCAAGAAACCAACGTGAAGACCTTCTATGAGTGCTTTATACATTCGTTGGATTCAAACCACAGTAATCAACTACGGTGGAGACTAGTTTAATATTAAATGATATCCTGATTACCACCATAAGTAAAAACGATGCTCCGGGTGGCCTGTTCAACGAACTGCAGAAGTACCAAGTCGAAGTGCTCACTGATTGGTGCAGGCTGCAGGCAGTTACCACAACAACTAACACAAACTGCCAAAGCTTCCCTTCGGAACTTCACGCAGACAGTGTAGCCATTGCCTTCGAAATATGCAGTTTCGAACGGTGTCCATGATGCAGTGGCAGAGATGTCCTGCAGCCATTTTTTATTGTGCAGGCTAGACAGTTACCTGAATTTCAACTGCCCATTGCTCAAGAAAAATCAGCATGACACCTGGGAAGTTATCGGGAATATGTAGTGGGTGATTGAGCAACAGTGCATGCAATGCGGCTTAGGTTTTGTCCTGAGATTTGCTTGCGCAGGACTGATCCGAATTGCACCAACCAACATTGAATTCGACCACGCTATTTTTTAGTTTGGCTTCCTCGCTGGCCTATCACTACTATTCCTATTGTCCGAAAGGCTTCTTCTACTCGGATATGAAAAGTTGATAGTTGGGCCGCATACGGAGAACAGGGGTTCAACCAGGCGTAGGCGTCGAGCCTGTCCACTACAGCGCAGATGCCCTCATACTTCCGAATGACTGTCAGGCCACTAGCAAATTCACTGATATATCTGTGGAAGTATATTTCCAGGAAAGCTCTGCAAGGGTACAGGCTTAAGAGTATTCCTTGGCTTTTGTTGCTTATATCGCGGGGACGTGGCGTTGAATTCCTTCGCTGATGAGGAACGTGATCTTGGGCATCAACAGGGCTTCGCCACTCGCTCCACTCTTTCCTTGATCCCTGTATGGCTTGTCAAAAGCAGTATCGTGCGTTTTGCAATAACATACTGTACGAAGTGCAGCTGGAGCGTGTAGCCGGTGAAGCCGGCGCCTCGCCTGGTACCACAAGATCGCCGTTGATGATGGATGATGTAATGATTCTGTCGTGGCCCATTGCTGAGGGTAGCGGGCAGTACAGCCGCATGGATGTATACCGAATATGCTGCAATTTTAAAGGGAAATGGGAATCGCCACAAGCAAATGCAGCAGCAGCTGCAGCTCCAGTCTGTTCAAGCAAGGGGCGGCTCTCTTTAATGAGACCCGTTAGAGTGCTGTCGATGCTAGCGAACCCAACGAAGAGGTTGCAGGACAACGATGCAAGGATTCGAGGCCCCAAGTGACGCTTATCACCGTCATTTTGGGTCTCGAATTCTTGCTTCTCCAACTCCCTTGCCTTTTCATACGCCTGCAGTCTCGAATTCTTTGACCGTTTTTGTTGCAAAAGAATGATGTTTGCTGTTCGAAACGCCCTCCCCGCCTTCTGATTGTCGAGATCAATGTCTGCCGGCGGTTTCCGCTTTTCCTCCCTCTTCGGGAGGGGCTGGCATTCATCACTGCAATATCAATAGACTCAAAGTATCCTGATCGTTGGCAAACTGTCAGCGTTCCGTCTCTCCTAAAGGAGACGATATGTTGCATAAGTATTTTATCATCCCGGTACGGTCAAGCATATCACGTGCCGGTTCTCTCACCTCTACCCGCCCGGCTGCTTACTGTGTTTTTCCGGAGGACAGCCTAGCAGTGAACCACTGCTACAGAAATTCCGAGTCCACCGTTGCTCTTCTGTTAGAAGCTATCGATATATTTTACTATCGACAAGTATCAGTTATACTGATACTTGCCGATACTGAAATATATCGATAGCTTCCACTAATTAATTTTTTTCAGTTTTGACACCGCCTGGTCCCATGCCTCCATAGAGATGCACCAACATCACATGGAGTGCCGGAAAGCTTCCATATTTCCGATATGCTCCGCAAAAGCAGTACCCCTCCTTAGGTGCAGGTACCTGTATGGAGCATCCATTGCTAATAGCAAGGTGCCAATAACAACTGGAGTTCTACTGGTTTTGGTTGGAGACGTAAATGAGGCTATACAGTGGCAAGACACATCTTTACCACGCCCTTACCGTGGCGATCGCAAATATAGGCTTCCAGCAGAGGTGCAGGCATTCTTAGAAGATTTTCTCTTCTGTTGGAACACTTTCTGTGTAATGAGGTACAAAAATTGGGCTTGAGTTAACTCGGCAAAGCTCCGAAAAGCAGGCTGTCTCAACACATGGGGGTAGATTGTGACCATTCGCGCATGAGAAGTAAAAGGCGGACATTAAACGAGGTTGCTGGGACAGTTGCAACATAAGTTTCTGTAAACGTGTACCTGTTCAGCTGTTCAGCATCATCGGTACTACTCATAGCTATTCTACGGAGTGCCCGGCTATGGGGGTTGGTTCGTTGTTTGCGCCTGCATCATTTGATCCACACAGGGCTAGCAAGGGCAATGCCGGGTCTTGGACAATATCGGAGGACTACTGTGAGCTCCAACGAAGTAAAAATGGGGGTTCCTTAGCTGCAGTTGGCTCCTTCCAAAGGCCTTCAGGCACCGCGCCGGCAGCGGCTCACAGCCTGGGGCTGCGGGAGAGGAAGTGACCTGCGACGAGTTGCACGTCACTTTCACGCAACTGACGTTACAAGACAGCCCCACAATCAAGTACAGGCAAGCCTGCGTCACTGTGCATGAAAGCTGTAGATAATGGCTGAGTAGTTTTGCTTTCGCACTGTTTGCCTACCAGCGCTGGGTAAGGCTCCGTTTGGCAATTCCAGGCAGCAGTGCCAACACCACACAGATTTGTCTTGGAGATGTACAGCCCAGCCATTGACTGATGCATGCACTAGCACTGTATGCAAATGTATTCAACTGCTTCATGCCTCCGCATCCCTAAGTATCCCGACTACATAAAAGTAGCAGTACATATTATACCAGCCTGACATGCATAACAAACTATATACACTTCTTCGCGGTACCCGTGGGCAATCGGGAGCATGCTCATCCGTGAGCTGGGCTAAGCAGGGGCTAAAAAAGGCCAGTTTGGCAAGTTAAAATGGCATACACGGTTTAAACCAACAGAAAGGCTCCAAATCTTTGAAAGATTTTTTAACTGTCTCCTCCCTCTCTGCCGCGTTTGCTGGTGCTGCTGCTCGCGAGAGGCTGTGGGGCTCCGGTGGCGGTGGGTCTGTCGTTGTGGGGTTTGGTGTAGTGAAGAGTCGCATACTTGTTGTTTCCTGCGTAATATCATTTCTTTTGTGCCTCTTTTTACAAAAAGGGGCGCAGCAGGAAGCCGAGTGGCCCCTACTGCGCTACCGATTGGAACCCCCTTCTCTGCCTCGAGGCTATAGCCAGGGACTGGCTGAACGTACACAGGAGACGGTCCCTAGAAGCATTGTGTCTGACTTTAGGATTTCATTCTTAAGACCTGCGCTTTGAGATTTTTGGGCTGGTCCTGCTACAATTACCCTGTTGTATCTGACTGCGGCAGCTTTCTGGTGGCCGCGTCGTGTTTTGTGTTTGTGTCAACCAGTTTTCGTTCCCTTTCGCGTCCTAGTTATATTTTGAGAAAATGGAGGAGGGCAAAGAAACGTGCGGGAGGTTGAAGTCGTTGCGACTGCACATCCCTCTAAACCGCTACGTGCTGTTGTTCCTGTATTTGGTGGTGGTCTTAGCGCGGGGTTGCACCTACTGGGGATGGAACGGCATTCAGGAAATGTTATACAAGTCAGGGGCGTATCTATGGGAGTGTGACGACCCTTCAACTATTACGGAGTTGCGAATAGGCGACGAGAAGTACATTGACTGCCCTGCAAGGAAACAAATGTTGGGGGGTATCTTCACCACAGCTTTGGGCTCGAACATGCTTTCCTCCTTCCTTGCTGGCATAGTTTTGGATGCAGTTGGCCCCAAGATAACGATGTTATTCGGCATTTTGATGGACGTTGCAGGCTGGTTGTTACTGGGATTTTCAGGAGAAAGTTTCCGTGCCTTCTACGCGGCAGCTTTCTTCATCGGAGTTTCTGCAGATCCTGGTTACTTGCCTCTGTTGTCAGTTAGCAAGCTCTTCCCTAGCAACTCTTCCTTTATTATATCCGTCATGGGTTCTGTTCGTTCAATATCTTTTGCTGTTCCTGTTGTTATGTCTGCGGTGTTCCAAAGTTCTTCTTTCTCTCCCGATGATCTATGGAAGATGTGCGTGGGGTACGTCGGAGTTGGTCAGGGAATTTCGTTGCTTGTGACAATTTTGTGTGTCCCCATGGCTTCCTTCAAGGCGCCTGTTACATCAGTAGTTACACCAGAAGGAGCAGCAGCGACCGACGAGGAACAACCTCGCGATGCATCAAAGGAAGAAGGCTCTGTTTCAACAGCAACAGCAGCGGCGGGAAGACAGAAAGACACGCGTTCTTTCGCACAATTGCTTATGGACCCCAAATTTTTACTTCTTCTTCCTATATTCGTTTGCGCCCTTGTCCGTTCCGATTACTATGCGAAGTCCAACAAGGAGCAGCTGATTACCTCTGACGGCCGAGACTTGTACCAAATGTTTGCAATTTTCAACATCTTAAGCTTTATTCCTGGGCCTCTCTTTGGTCGTCTTGTAGATAAATACGGCATTATTTTGGTGTTGTTACTATTGAACTCGTCAGGGGTATTGATGTTCTTCTTCTTGGTATTTGACTACCTCGCATGCAAGGGTATATCGGTCTTCTTCTTCTTCATCTATACCTCCTTTGTGCTGAGCAATGTCTATTGTTTCATATCAATCCACTTCCCCGAACACGCATTTGGCAAACTGACAGGTCTTACTTCTGCAACAGGAGGGGTATTTGTACTGATTAGCATGTTATGGTATAAGAAGGTGCTGGAGTACGAGCCACCTAACAACTTTATTGTTGTTGACGGCATTATGGTGGCTGCAGGACTTCTAGTATACGTGCTAATCTTTGTTCTGTGGAAAGTATCAAGAAAAGAGCGTCAGGCAGAGGGAAAGATGAAACAACAGAAGACTCTACCTGAGCCCAATGAGCCATCTTCAACGATTTCTGTATAAAGAAATCGAACTGCATGCACCGCGCAGGAGGGGGTGTGGTGATAATATTATTTTGAATATAGATATATATTTATTTATAAGAGCTCGCTATGAGCTCAATGCACCTTAGACAAAGAAAGAAAGAGAGAGAGGAGAGGCGCGGAGTGCGGCACGTAGATGTGCCTTGAGCACGACGAGTGTGCAGGGAAAGAAGAACCATATACCCGAGACTATTTAATAATAAAAAAGTGTGTTATCTACAGAAGCCGTATAAAGAGGGCAGAAGTATGCAGTTAATTATAGATGCGCTTGTTTAGAGGAGCAAAAAGAAAGAAAACAATAAATAAGCTCAAGGAGGTTGGTGATCAGTAAATGCACTAGAAACGAGGAAGAAGACATCACCTCTTTCTTTACAAGAAAAGGAAAGGTGTTGCTTGTTCATAACAATTGGCGGGAGAGAGAGAGAGAGAAAGAGGAAAAAAGACAGTGACAAAAAAAAGGAAAAAAGGGGCTCAATGCAATGAATATTTATTTAAATACTTTCGCTTCTTTCTTGTATATTTCAGGAAAAACAAGAAGAAGCAGTAAGTCTATATAAACAGCATTTGAATATACAAGCCAAAGGGGTATATATACATATATATATATATATATATATATATA